CCCCCCCCTCCAAGTGCCATGAGGATTCTGGGGTTTGTAGTTTCCTGGGGACCAAAAAACTCTCCAGCTTAGAATTCTAAATGTCCCTCACTAAACTGTAGATCCCAGGATTTCATAGGCTGTTCCCATGGCTGTTAAAGTGGATTATAGTGCTATAACAGTGTAGTGTGATAAGGAAACATCCTGGTTCCCTTAGAAACAGTACAATCATACAAAGGCTCACCTCATTTCTGAGGAGCTGTTCAGCTTTGCTTCTGTTCAGATTTCTACAATACCATCTACAGAGGAAAAATACATATTAAAAGGCATAATATGTTGAGCTTTTGATCTTGGATGCTACAATTTTCGAGAATCCCTCTAAAAGTCAAAAGACAGCTGATCTCATAACCAAAGGTAAAGAAAACCATGGGGATTTCTCTTCTATTATATCTTTTCACTTGGAGCTACTTTGTGTATCCTAATTCACTCATGGCTTAACGTTTTATATTAGTACTGATAACACTTAGTCCTAGCTAGTTAGTTCGTGAGGATTTTGGGGGTTGGGGGTAGCACCATGAAGAATGATTTCAAATTATCCAGCTTTCTGAGTGAATTTGGAAAGTTTTAGATGTGCTCAGGAGAAGTTCTTAAATGTACCCTTAAAGCAAGAAATGAACAACTTGAGAGCTCAATCTCATATATTTTTTCACACAATTTCCAAAACATATAAGAATAGTTTGTTCTTGTGGATTATAGGTGTATTTTTACTTACTCATACTGGTCTAGACTATTGGACTTCTTTCCTGTTACGTAGTTGCTTGGAATATATCCTTTGCTTCTAGAGACAGTAAAAAGAAAGTAACAAAATAAAAATGTCTTGCTGGTAAATGTTTTAGACAGTTTATAAAACTTTAAAGTCAACTATCTAGCCTATAAGGTACACACAAAATAATGTACAACCTTCAATAAATTTATTATCACTTGTGAATATCATAATGTACTGCCATGTTAAGCTTTTCTCATAACATGATGTAAAACAATTTTGTTCCTGGATTTAAAATGTATTTCCTAATTAGTTCTATCATAAAAACATGGGGAAAGTTTATTAAATTGCAAAAACTTTAATTTTTGCGGAACAACCTGCAGCACATTTTGCTATAGTTTTTCCATGAATATCTCACAGATTCTCAGCCACAGTTTGTGGCAGTTACAAAGACAACATTTCTGGAGTATAACAACTATTTTCAAAGTAAGTACCATATAATTAAATGGGAAGTAACACTTTCAAACCAGGAATAGAAAAAAAATCAAACATTGTTATGTAGTATATCATTCTTTATTACTAGGATCTCATAAAATTATTCATTATTGATTCTGGTAAAATAAATTATCAAATTTTATTTTTCTTTACTTCATCTTCATGATGATTGAGTCTTCAGATCTATATGTTTAACTCTACTATGTCACCACTGAGTATTTGTACAGGCACACACAAAACCTTTACATTATAAACCAATAATCTCCTCATTTATTCCATTCATTCTTTCTTCAAGGTGCTCAATGAGACAATTTACACTTTGAAACACATCTGCAAGGGACAAATAGGCAGATATAAAGTACAAGGATGTGCTCCAACTCCAAATAATGTATTGACTGAGTAGTATTTCAACATGATCCAAATTTGGAGTTCTTGAGGACAAGTTAGTCGAGTGGTGGCCAATGGGATTTTGGCCTGAATAAATAGGAGTCTAGTGTTCAGATCCAGAGAAGTCAGGCTGTCCCTCTATTCTGCCTTGGTCAGACCAAACCTGGAATACTGTGTCCAATTCTGGACACCAGAATTGAAAGGAGATGTTGACAAGCTGGAATGTGTCCAGAGGAAGGTAACTAAAATGATCAAGGGTATGGAGAACACACCCTATGAGGAGTGACTTAAAGAGCTGGGCATGTT